GTTCTATATGGAACCATAATGAAACACATTTTCCATGAATCTAAAGAACGTTTTCACAATGCAAAGAACCATTTAATCATGTACAGGGTTCTTTGAGTGTTCATGGTTCTATATAGAACCATTTTCTTTACTAAAGAACCATCATTTTTAAGTGTGTACTGAAAAAACAGCATCAGCAGTGTCACTGCTGGTATGTATGAGTATGCAGAGAAACAGATGGACTACAGTCTGTAACTGTAGAACTACAAAGTGCACCTATATAGAAAGTGGAGCTTATAAAATGGACAAAGAGCGTAGAAACAAGGAGGTGGTCGTAATGTTACTGTTGGGCTCCAAGTTCTCTTCCCATAATATTGCATTTGGCTCTGGTTTTACTGGTGGTGACTGTTTGATGTTTGTTAGCTCCTTCAGAGGGCAGTGCTGAGTAATGTTTTTTTTATTTGAGGGAAGGTTTTCCACAGTTATTCACTTCACAATCAAAACAAATGAAAACCTACCCACTGAGACAAGTCGTAGCTCACAGGTGGGTGGCAGTTTGTTTATTTGAGGTTTGTTAGTACCTTTAGGGGGCAGCAGTGTGCAGCGTTTGTTTATATGATGTGTTAATGTGAGGGCAGCCATTCTCTCTCTTACACTAAGAAACAGGGCCTGTTGAATTTAGATTTGACGAATTTTGACCACAAGTGTTGATCACAGTTGTTCTTCTCATGCAGTACTTTAATGTTTGAAAGGGTCTGCACTGTTTGTTACTGTTCAGTTAAAGTCAGTGTGAATGGGAAATCATAACACACCCTCCTTACATATCGTGATGTAATTCTGAGTGAAACACGCCATCAGGGAGGGTCTGAGCGTTTTCTCTCCATCACAGGTGCTAATGAGAGAGTGGAGCTGAAACGTGGTATTATCAGTTAATTAATTTCTCCCTAGTGATAATAACCCGGATAGCAAGCATGTATCGGTCCACTGGCTTGATAAGGTGGGCACCCCGCTGACTGTTTACCACTCCTGGTCCACCCTCAGACCACCCAAATTACTGTCCTGCATACAAGCTCTAACTCGTTTTTAACCTCCCCAAACAGATTTTAAATGCACAGAGACTTTTATTTTAGAAAATATACTAAGAAAAATATTACAAACAACTGAGAGGAAAAAAATATAATGACTAGGTCTCATATAAAATCATTTTAAATAAAATTTGGTTGCTGACACTGTGCTGGATTAAATGTGATTACCTTTGAGGTAGGGCTGGGCGATAAAACGATAATGATAATTATCGCAATGTAACTTTTCCTCTATAGAGCGATACGACATGTTCGATATAATACATCATTCTCACACTTCCACATTCTAGCCAAAGCCCTGGTGGCGTTTTCTACTGCAAGGAAAGCGACACTACTCTGCTGTCGCCAGGAGAGGGCGCACTTCTGAGTTTTTCTACATGATTAGAGAGGGAGGGGCCACGAGTAAGATGAGTCTTTAGCAACGGCTAAACGCAGAGTTATACATTCCCTGTTTGAGTGTAGCGACCGGCGATCTGCTCTCCTGTGACCGAGTGTGAGTGACGAGGTCAGTGGTGTGACTATACTGTCCTACAGCGAACTCGTTGCTTTCTGTACATCCTAACAACTTTAGCAGCGTTAAATCCCAATCCTCACAACTACAGCGCTGTTACAGCGTTTGGGCAGTCATATTTAAGTATTAGTGCATTCCCAAGCAACAAAAGTGAAAGAAAGAAGTGAGTTCGTATAAATTACTGCCCTGATTTAAACGACAGTAAACTGAGGAAGCTCAGAGGAATGTCGTTTGTAGCGGGGTAGCCGAGCGCTCGTCACCAGCTAAAATAATCTGTTTTCCTTCTTAAATTATGACTATTACAAAATAGCCATGCTTTTCCAGCTGGTAAAACAGCTCACCAGACACTTTCTCCCACTCTCCCATGACAGATTAGTGAAATGTTCCACTGCTTGGTGAGTGTTTGTCATGTTCTGACCATAAAGGATAGTTTAAAACAGCAGTTAACCACCCAGGACCAAAAATCAGCCTTCAAACTTGAAAGAAATAATGATTTGACATTTATCGCGGTATGTATCGATATCGAACGATATGAATTTTGTTTATCGTGATAACGTTTTTGGCCATATCGCCCAGCTCTACTTTGAGGCTTAATATTTATAACATTTAAGACAATAAGATCTTTTAAAGAACTGTAAGGAGACGGGCAGAGTTTCAGCAACATGTTTGAAGACCTGACAAAGAAGTAGAACCTGATTGGTCCTCTTGTGTGTACTCGAAGTGCTGATTGGCTCACAGATAGAACCTTATAGAACTAAGATAGAGTTTGACTTTGGAGAAAGAACCTATTATTTTTCTAGATAAAGAGTCCAAAAATGTATATAACTTAAAAAACACCTCACGTAATGTCTAGAAGTTGTCTAGAATCTGTGAATAACTCAGTTTTGATAAAAATGTCAGATAGAACATTCAAATTCCAAAGGGATGAACTGTTGCTGCATTTATTGCGTAACGAATTGAAAATCTTGCTTGTTTTCTAGTTAATAATGTAATAAACAGAGCTTATTTTTTTCTGCTTCATCTCATCTGCTCAGCATTACCTCTAGGCTGCTTGCCAAAGGTAAAATCACAGCGTTGATTTAATGTAGTAATTATGCATATTCATAAATTTTACATTCTTAATAAGTGTAAGATGCTTTTATGTCATTTTAGTGGTCATAACAATAGTATATTAAAAAATCTAACACTATTATTCAACATAGATTATTTTTATGGTTTGAACTGTGACCTTTAGTGGTATTTAAATGATGTATCATGTTAAATATGACCACGGTCATGCACTAACAAGAGTTGTTTTTTTGTTTTTGTTTTTTTTTTTTCTCTGGGTGGCCAAGTTCATTTTTGTACTGTTTGGCCTTTTTTAAAAAGCTGATCACTTTATTATTTATCCAAACTAATCAGCAGAGCAGTGAACTCCACTAGACATAATGAAAAATGAAAAGTGTTCTAAAAAGTATGTATTTTGGTCCTCCGGCGGAGTGGAGTAAGAAACAGAAACATGAGGTCGGGCTAAAACAGCAACAGCAGTGCAGAAGACTCTCATGGGATTTTACAAAACATGCTTGGTGTAACGTGGTGTGTGTGTGTGTGTGTGTGTGTGTGTGTGTGTGTGTGTGTGTGGGTGTCTTTAAAAAGCTTTGCTGGTTGAGTTTCTCCTCTGTTTCATCACTCAGTAACTGTGGGAAACAGACAAAAGTATTTAATTTAGTTTTTTTTTATTCTTTTTTAGGACCCCATGCATCCATAGTTCTGAGAAATGGACCAAAGTATTTAAAAATAAAACAGTGAACGCATATCGGCCCACAGACGGAAGCGGGACCAGCGTAGTCAGTTTTTGACAATGATACCAATAGAATATTTTAACTTCGATACAGATTTCTGAACGATATGTTAAGGTTAAATTCGTATATCTACAGTAAAAAAGTACATTTTGTTCTTAATCCTATTTATTCACTAAAACTTTTTACTGAATTTTCCCCTCCAGTTTGGTGGTGGGCATTTCCAAATATCACATCACATTGTGTTGTTTATTCGTTTGTGTTGTGTGTGTTAGCTTACCCATGTCCAGAGAGCTACTCAAGCTTTATAGTAACACTATATGGCCATAAGTATGTGGACGCCTGATCAACACACCTACATGAGCTTGTTGGACATCCCATTCCAAAATCAAGGGCATTAATATGGAGTTGCCCCGCCAACTCCTTTGCAATGTTAACAGTCCCTACTTTTCTGGCAAGGCTTTCCACAAGATTTTGGGGTGTGTCTGTGGGGAATTTGTACCCATTCAAAGAATTGAAAGAGCATTTGTGAACGTCACAATCAACTTCCAATTCATCCCAAAGGAGTTCCTCCACACAAAACTTGTCAATCCATGTCTTTATGGAGTCATGCAGGAACAAGAAAGGCTCTTCCCCAAACTGATGCCACAAAGTTGGAAGCATGTGATCATCTAAAATGTCTTTTCGTGCTGTAGCATTAACACCCTTCATTGGAACTAAGGGGCCCAAACCCTGAAGAACAGCCCCAGCCCATTATCCCTCCTCCACCAAACTTTACTGTTTGCATTCCGGTAGGTAGTGTTCTCCTGGCATCCACCAAACCCTGATTCATCCATCAGACTGCCAGATAGTGAAGCGTGACTCCAGAAACATGTTTCCACTGCTCCAGAGTCCAGTGGTGGCATGCTTTACACCACTCCAGCCAACACTTGGCATTGCGCATAGTGATTTTAGGCTTGTGTATAACTGCTCAGCCATGGAAAACCCATTTCATTAAGCTCCCGATGCACATTTTTTGAGTTGGTGTTGCTTACAGAGGCAGTTTGGAACTCTGTAGTGAGTGATGACTACATTCTTCAGCACTCAGTAGCCCAGCTCTGTGAGTTTGGGTGGTCTACCGCTTCATGGCTGAGCTGTTGTTACTTCTTGATGTTTCAATTTCACAGTAATAGCACTTACAGTTGACAGGGCAGATCTAGCAGGGCAGAAATTTCACAGACTGACTTGTGGCACAGATGGCATTGTACGACAGTGCCATGTTTAAAGCCTACGGTCAGTGTTTGCCTATAGATACTGCAAGGCTATGTGCTTGATTTTATACGCCTGTTAGCAATAGATGGGGCTGAAACACCTGAACTCAGTAATAAGGAAGTGTCCACATTCTTTTAGCAATATAGTGTATTGTAGTGTACAATTACCATCCAATACCTAGTTTACCTTTCATTAAAGTAAATGTAGGTGCTGCTGATGGAACACATTAACATTTTTTTTTTAAAGCCAAACATTGTTTTTACTGTACTCATGTTTTTTTGTATTTATTCTGATGATACACAGCTTTTACTCACAATACTACACATATAAATAGTTTTAAACTGTTTTCATGGCTTGCACTGTACCGTGGGTGCATCCCAAAATATTCTAAACACGTACCCTCGATTTCCGAAATCTTTTTCTCCGTCTCCTTCTCCATCACTTTCTGTCCAAATTTGATCTCGGCAACTTGAGCCACCTTTTCAGCCTCTGAAAACAGAAACAGGATCACATCAGCAGTTTTTACACACTTACAATACTGATGAAAACCAGACTGCCGGTACGCAGTACTGCACACAATGCATTTGAGCTGAGTGGTTTAAGAGAGAGCTCCGCTCACCAATAACGGCTCTTTTCCTCTCAGTCTCCGCCTCCTTCTCTACCACTTTCTGAGTCTCTGCAGCAATCAGCAACTTGGTCCTCTCACTCTCCCTGATACCACAAATACAGACACCAAAAACATACAGTCGTGTGTGAAAGTTTGAAATCCCTGCTCTAATTATGTTTTGTTGATTTCTTAAAAAAAAAATAAGCACAAATCCTTCACAAACAAACTTAAAATATGCAAATGTGACCAATATTCTTCACATCCAAGAACTGGTCACTAGAGTAAAAGTAATTAAAAGTAATAATGGTTGCAACTGGGATATATTTCCTGTTCATGTGTTTTAGAATGGTGTAAATCATATTTAATAAATAGACAATTCTTTGTTTCACTGATCAAAAAATCATCACATTTCTTTTAGAGCTGAACAATTTGGGGAAAATATCTTATTACGATTTTTCTCACCAAATATTGCAATTTAAATGTAATTATTTTCTAGAAATTAATTTCCAGGCCTGTTTTTTGGCCTAGAAGACCAGAATATCTGCTTTTTCTGGCAAGAAGCTTGGACACTGAGTGAGCCAGACTATCAGTTAATTGTGATGGTTATGTTGTTACACATACTGCACAAGGATGCTTTGCTGCTTCGGATTCATCTAACTCATCTACTGCCAGTTCACAAGCTCTGTGTTGTTTCTCCATTTAAAAGTTAAGACAACATTGTTGATAAGGTATTATATAATAACAACTGCAGGTCTTGCGATTTGAAAATCGCACTCTTTCAGATAAGACCCATTAATCTTTCAGCCCTTTGTTTCTTGTGGAGTCCCACAAGGTTCAATTTCAGGAACTTTTCTTTTTGTATATGTTACTCCTAAATTACCCATTAGGAAATATGATGTCAATTTTTTACAGCTATGCTGATGACAGGCAATTATAAATTTCCATTTCAGCTGAAAACTAAGACTCAAACCAAAACTCAGTGGATGTAGCAACATTTTCTATAACTAAATCAAGAAAAAACCGAAATACCAATTTTTTGGTACTAAAATTCAGAGAATGCTGTTTTGAAGCTCCTGAGGCTTAAAAGCTGATGTTAATCTTTGTCTTTGTGGTATTCTAGAAAATATTATGTTCTTCAATGTTTTCTTAACCTTACAACAGCCTCACACTCGTTTTAGGCTGTAGGAGTTGACGAGGTGGGCATCTAAACTTGTCACGGTCGCTGCCTCAAGTTAAAGGCACTAAGGTGGCCCTAGACATTGGAGGTCACTCTGCTACTCTTCTCGAGAGACGAGAGAGACACAAGAGCAAGAGAGAGTGAGGAGGGAAAGAGAGACATCAAGAGACAGAGAGAGAGACAGAAAGCAAGGGAGGGACAGGAGAGAGAGAAAGAGAGAAGGGGTGAGAGAAAGAGAAAAAGGTAAAAAAGATTGAGAGGCCTTGAGAGAGGCGAGAGAAATAAACAGAAAGGACAGATAGGCTGAGAGAAAAAGAGTGAGAGCGTGAGAGAGAAAGACTCACATGAGCTCATAGTTCCTACGAATGGACTCGGGTATGTTGGGTTTGGTGACACGAACAGCCTGAGAGAAAGAGAGAATAATTAATCGCGGCTGCTAAAGATGACTGATGTCTCTGCACACGCAGGAGAGAGAGAGAGAGACTGACTGCTGGAAAATGAATCACGTTTAGTCACATCACATTTACACAGGTGTGAAGGTGAGTGAAAATCTTAGGTGCGTAACATTTAAATACAGTACTTAAATACAGAAATAAATAAAAAGTATTTTTAAAAATGTACACATTAGACTCTAAATATACACATTATTATAAAATGGATAGTTCCAGTCCTAAAATCTGATTGGCTGAGCCACATTTGAAGCCATTGTAAAATCCACAATATACGCACTCCTATGATCACCTCACAGCTGAGCTCTGTATCACTGCACCACAGCACGAAAAACCCTTCTGCTGTTAATGGAATAATCTTTGACTCTCATGCTGCTCACATGGAGCACTGAGTAAAAAGAAGTAAGAACCTGTTTTTTGTTTAAACTGAGGGGCTGACAACTTATGTTCTTAACCAGAACCAGGCTGGTCAGCTAGCTAACAGCCTAAACAGCTCCATCATTAATATCACAGGCTTGAATTAAAGCACTTACAGTATGATTAACTGTAAAACGGCAGTATAAAAGTCTAAGAAATGTCACTTGAATGACTGACACCCTTCAAATGTTTGTGTTTCAGTCAGAAGTCGTGTCAAACCCAGGCAGAATCCCAAACGGCTCATACTCCCTAAAAAGTGTGCTGACTATGAAAGTTTAGATGTTCTAGCCTCTACAGCCAAACAGTGCATCATTTATCTGTAAAGCGCAGCATACGACCAACCGTTCTCCTCATTCAGTGATCCATGGCAATGATACTGTATTCTATAGTAACTACATTTCTTGGTGGGATACTAGTTTACGTTGATTATTATTAATAATAAATTATTTTCTGAAAAAGTGTGTTTTGTCATATCTTATGTTGGCTGCTGTTTTATAAAAGCAGAGTTTTACACTCTTCCCGTGATAAAATCACAGTAATGCAGTTTTTTGTAGCTTATTGCTTTAATCTACACTGGTTATGAAATAAAAGCTATGCTATGTACAGTTGTACACATTTCCATAGATGCGGTATGCGAGTCTGAGATAAATGAAAATGAAATGCAGGGTACACAGGGGACAGAATATGAATATATATATATATTCCAGATTATACAAGATATGGTAGAAGATGTACAAGATGTCAGTGTATATGTGCAGGTATAGATTTGCTAGACTGAAGTTACAGTAAGATCAGAGTGTGTCTGTTTGAGGTGTGGATTGTCCATGGAGATCATCATGATGATTCAGAGGTGTAGTGACAGGCCCATAGACCAGCAGTTGGTGACATTTTGTCCTTTCAACAAAAATCAAACCACCTTGGGAGCCACATCATTTTATGTCCATTTTACCATCTTGGCTGTAAATAGGTCTCAGTATGTGCTGATGTAGTAGTGTAAGCTAAAAATATAATATAAACAAAACGCAGACTTACTTTGCTTGGCGTTAAGCTCCACATTAAATGAGAAAGTGACTGCTGCACCTTTTAAGGGGACGAGGGTGGTTGGTGAATAAGATGATGACTTAAGCTTTGCAACTTTTTAGTGTTTGACAGTTTCTCGCTGCAGATTAAACGTATCAGGAAACCAGCTGGAGTGATTATAAATGCAAAGAAGTCTGCTCAGCGAGACTGTTATCTGCATTGCTATGGTGACCAGCAGTCTGCGTGCTGACCTTTAGGGTTAAAGGGTGAATTAGCAGTTCTACATTAACTCCAGAGTTTAAGACCATTTATTGTTAAACTGTGTTGAACGATCAGCAGAGCTTTATTTTACTGTAAAGGAGGATTATTTTATTTTTACCTATAAATCTAATTCTGTGTGGAGCCACAACAGGGCAGTAAAAGAGCCGCTGACATAGACTGATACACCAGCACTACTGGCCGTTCAGCAGCCTGGTGGCCTGGGGGAAGAAACTGTCTCGGAACCAGGTGGCTTCTGTACCCCCTCCCGCTCGGCAGCTGTGGAAACAAACAGTGGCTTGGGTGGGTGGAGTTCTTTAGAACCAGGGGGTTTGGGAGTTGGACCCCGGTGATGTGCTGGGCTGTTCGCACCACCTTTTGCAGAGCTTTCTGCTCGATGGCAGTGCAGTTTCCGTACCAGGAGGTGATGGAGCCTGTTAGAACGCTCTCCACAGTACATGTGTAAAATGTTCTGAGGATGCGAGGGTTCATGCCAAACCTCCTCAGCTGACTGAGGTAGAAGAGGCACTGTTGTGCCTTCTTCACCACCCGTGTGGTCCATGTCAGTTCCTCTGTGATGTGAACACAGAGGAACGTGAAGCTGCTGACCCTCTCTACAGTGGCTCCATTGATGGTGATGGGAGTGTGCACCTTATTTGCTTCCAGCACCAGTGTCTCAGTAAGCTGACCTCCTCTCTGTAGGCCTCCTCGTTGTCATTGGAGATCAGGCACACAATCGTGGTGTCATCTGCAAATTTGATGATGACACTGAAGCTGTGTATGGCTGAACAGTTGTGGGTGTACAGAGAGCACAAGAGAGGGCTGAGCACACAACCCTGAGGAGCTACGGTGTTAAGGGTCAGCAAGGAGGAGGTGATGTTGCCCATTCTTACCACCTGGCGTAGGTCCATCAGGAAGTTCAGGATCCAGCCGCACAGAGAACGGTTCAGACCCAGATCCTGAAGCTTAATGTCAAGCTGGGAGAGCACGATGGGGTTGAATGTTGAGCTGTAGTCCACAAATCTTGACCGCAAGTTTGCCGTTTTACTTTAAAGCTAAACTATGTACGTTTGGGGATTGGAGACCTCTCTGGTGAAAATGTGTCATTTCCACCAGAAGAAAGATGTCTCTCAGAAACATCTGGATGGGCAAAGAGAGAGAATAACACACATAAGAAGTTTTGGCTGTGAATAAGAACTCAAACTCCCTGATCTCCTCAGATCACAGGACACAAACAAAGCTAAACATACTGTAAAGTCAGTGCTTTGATGTCTGGATCCAACATTATGGACATAACAGCTCTTATCTGACCGTGTTTTACTCACAGCTCTTCTGTCTCTGCTCTGCTGTTCATGCATGTCTCTTTGCCTTTTTCTCTGCTCTTCTAGCTCTCTGATTGGCTGTTGTTTGAATCACTCACTGAGTTCATCTCTGACCTTCTGACCGTCCTGTTAGTGCACCTTTCGTCTGGCTGATCAGAGGCACCTGTGTTTGTGCCTGACTAATGAACTAGGCATGTACATACACCTTCCTGTAGCTCATCCGTTTCGTGCCCTGAAGAAGGCACAAGCTGCTATGCGTGGGCACTTCTAACAGTCCAGTTAGGACATGTAAATACAGAAAAGACATTTTCATTTAAGGAGTGCCTTTCTTTCAAGAGTTTTGTCTCTCTTTTTTTTTTTTCCCTCATTGGATTTTTTTCCCTTGACACCAGAAAGCACAATATTTAAACAACATTTAAAGCAGAGATTGTTATATATATATTTAACAGTACCATTATATGAGACTCACTATCTGTGTTTACATGCAAAGATTTTTGCCAGTCCGATTGAACACATTCCAATTATAGATTAAGACTGAGTTCTCACTCTACTCAACAATCTGATGGAAAATCTCCGTTTACATTCACACTACAAGTAATCTGATCCAAACTTACGCACATGCATTGAGAACCGCTTAGTGTAGACGTTACCATGACAACGAGCATCACGTGAGTCCAGTCAGAGTGAGATGAGCAGCAGTGAGCAGCGCTTGTGTTTTTAATTACTTTAAAATGATGTCAGACTCAGGAAAACGTCCTTCACATGTCCTTATCAAAGAAGGCCGAGAGGAAGACGTCGTGTTCTGAGACACATAAGCTGGACGTCCGTCCCACCGCCGTCTTTTAAAGATCAGAGCATAAACTTCGTCTCCTCTGCAGACCAGTTTCTGCTCCGCCATGTTGAACGGTATAAACTTTCACTATGACGCGACGAACAAGATCAGAACGGACTTAAACTTTCCGATAGGGAATGTAATCAGATACAGGCGTTTACACGGATATTATTTTTCTATTTAACGGATTATTTACAGGATTACCCACCTCAATCAATCAGATATAACCTGTATTCTAGACTATTCCGATTGAGGTGTTTAAATGGACGTATTCTATTCTGATTGGGCTATTAGTCGAATTATTAATGGATTATTGAGCTGCATGTAAATGTGGCTATTGTGAAAGCACTGGTGTTCCTGCTGAACATGAGTGAAGTGTTGGCAAAAGGAGACGAGTTAATTCTGTGTTCTCATTCATTTGGTAATTCTATTAATTTCTTAAATTCCAGTGAAGCTTCCATTGTGTCATGAATGAATCCACATGGGCAGATTTAACTAGCGATCAGTCTACACTAGAATAATAGTTATGTAACCGTCATGCCCACTCAGTGTGCCAGGGTGAGGGTTAGGATTAGGTTTTGGGTTGAGGTTAAGGTTAGGGTTAGGATTAGGGCCAGGTTTAGGGTTAGGTTTTGGGCAAAGTTTGCATAATGTAAGTAAAGTATTAACAATACATCTAATTAATGTAGGTAATGTATCAACAGAACATCTACAAGATGAGTGCTTGTTTCACCTAAAAGGACACTCAAAGTGTCACCCAAATTTGAAAATGCTGCTTAAATAGTGTATTTACAGTTGTGTTTTCCATGTGAATGTGAATCATTTAAGGCATAAGTCAAATTCAAATGCAGACGCATTGTATTTGCATTTCTGTGTTTAATGGCTGGAAAAATTAAACATGGAGTTAAAAGTGTTTTTGACATTTCATTTTCATGTCTTAAAGGTCCGACTGACGTTAAAACCGGAATATCAGTCGCCCATTTGCAGTCGCATTCCCTCATCGTTGCGCTCCAGCTCTGCCAAAATTAAAACGTATTTGCAAGCCTGTTTGCAATTGCATTTTCACTGTCAACAAGGCTTCCTGTCAATTAAACACTCTTTAGAC